CTCCAAGATATATTCTTCAGTATCGTTTAGATGCGCTTATATTTACTGAAACATTTTTTCCCTTATTGAAAATAAAGAACTACAGCTTATAGTAACTTTTTTACTTCGTTGCTGTTCTGTTTGAACTAAAAATAAATAATACCTTTCGGAAATAAAGGATTAACTGAGAATTAAAATAAGCATGAAATCAATTTATTTATTCCAAGGAAAATAAACAAAGCGATAACACAATAACTCTATTTCTGCTGTAATTGAATACATTGAAGTAATTGAATAAGGAAACTACCGCCTAGGGCGTAAACATGCCAAATTTTAGTTGCAGATTCGCTCCACTTACCTTCTTTTTCATGTCTGTTTATTTAACATCTTTTGCTACTTTTTTAGATAAAATCTTTCTAGAAAAAGAAAACCGCGTTAAATTGCCTTTGATAAGGCATTGTTAATCGAGCCTTCTTAGCAGTTTTCTTTGATTTACTTCCAATCTGTGCGATTTTTACGGATGCGAGAAAGCTTTATTTGACAAAAAAGTAGAGAACGCTGGAGCAATGATTTGCGATTGCATAGGAGAAATGTAAATTTAAAAATATAGTAAAATCAAAAGGCTTTGAAATAAATATAAAAGATTTCTGCTTTTAAGGAAATGCTTTCTCAGAAAGATTGAAATATTAAATAGTATTAAATTAATTTTTAATGAGAAGTAAAACTTACATTAAATTTAAATTAAGCTTTCAGAATTTTAGATGCTTTAATTTTGTTTTATTCTTAATGGGAAAGTTATTATGCAAAGCAAAGAGCCGCTCAAAACCTAATCCAACTGCAGGCTGATAGTGGAAATAATACAAAATAACATAAATTCAAAAATACATTTAAAATTCATCCCGGTAATTCGATGCTTTTTTCATTTCCCAAATTATTTAGTCTTATTACTGTATATATTTTATGTTACAACAGTAGTTTTTCTAATTATTTCAGTAGTTTTTCTAATATTTCTAAAATTTTGTTTTCTATCTTAATTCATTAGTCAAAGCATTTTAATCTTTGCTACCATAGAGGCAAATATATTTGTTAAATTCCAAAACTTTTGTTGCTCTAATACTATAAATTTTAAGGCTTACGCCCCTTATTTTCTATTTTGTATTTTTTAGATCAAATGTTTATTTATTTCACTTATTTGCTTCACATGTTGGATTACGTTTGTTTTACGTGTTTATAACCTCGATTAATTCAAATTATAAATTATTAGATTTTTAAACTTTATTGCTTTTTTGTGATTTATGCTATTATTTTTAACCCGGCTTATATGATCTCAGAATTTGCATATAGTTTTGTTTTTTGAAATATGGTTTTTAAATACTGAATTATTGTTTTCGCAAGTTTTTGTTTTCGATTTCAAATACTCGAAATAATTTTATATTTGAGTATTAATTTCGCAACTGGTTTCAAATTTGACCATGATCCTATAATTTTGTAACTTTTCGCTCTTCCTTTCGGCCTCTAGAAGTTAGACATTAATATTGTTCTTCTAAGATGTGTTGCTTCTGATTTTTATTGTATCTCTAAGATTTCTTTTTATTTTAAACTTTAATTTGTGTCTTTGACGGCTCAGAAAGACGCAGTTTCATTTATTTTTTTATCTTTCATTGCACGAACTTTCTGATGACGATGCAACGGAATATGTAAATTTAATATTTTATTTTTAATTTTGGCATATTCTCCGCCCCCTTCTATTTTTTGCACTGGGCTTTTGGCTTTTTTGCTTTTCGCATGTGATTTATTCCGAATTGAATATGTGATGAATTTTAAACGCATTTTTTTATTTTTGCATTTTATATATATATATACAGAGAGAGAGAAAGAAATTTAAAAGGATTTATTTTTGTTGACTTCTATTTAGACTAAATTTTGTCTGTCTTTATTATATAGCAGTTGATTCTACCCAAACGGGCTAATTGGGTAACTGAAACCACCCCCTAAGAACGGAAATAAACATTTTCGAAATTTAACTAAGGTGTATTTTTATTGGCGTCATATTTTACAAGTAATCCTAAAGCCACATTCATGCAATCAAAATTAACAAAATCATTCATTAAAAATTTTCCCCCGACATGTGAATGATACAGAAGAAAGTTAAATTTGTTATTTTCCGTCTCAGATCTCTAAAAGATGTTTCCGATATCAGAAGGATATGCGTGATCATTAAAGTATGTAATTATATATTGTTCGCAAAATTATGCTTTGGAAGCCTTTTTCTACAGACAGATATAATTTGGCCATTTTTTCCAAGGATGATTTTTATATTTTTAAAATTCCTCTCCTTGAAAAGTCTTTAAATATCAACAATAGTTCGTTAATTTAAATTTCCTTAAAAGGATCCCAGTGTGATAAATTAAATTTTGTCCCTGTTCAAAGAACTTCTCCATATGACCAAATGTGTGTCTGTCTAAAGGCTGCTTTATTTGAACTGTTTCATAAACTGAAGCCATAAGCAGCTACGAACATCTGTTTCAAAGTTATTTTATTACACAATGAAGCATAATAGTACAGTTCAAATTCAGTTGCCTTATATTGTTGTTAATGTAATTGTAAACTATCTTCTGATAAGAAAATTAAAGATTTTTTATTCGTCTCATATTGTTATTCTCATAAGATTTATATCTAAGCAATTGTATTTGTACTAGTTTAGAAATTTCGTATAAACTATTCAATTTAATGAACTCAAGACTACTATATATCTAATAACCATACATCATCTTAAATATAACATGATATGAGCCTATTAAAAATATGTATACTATATTAGTGGAAAATTCAGTAATTGTAAATGTTTAAGACATTTCCAAAATTATATACGAGTATAATTTAAATAACCTTGAGTGAAGTATAGGTATTATAGCACTTTACATTTTTCTCTTTAATGGCTCATTTTGTAACAATCAGGTCACCATTTGTTTGGTTTCGTAATTTCCTTCTGAGATTTTAGTGGACTTAAAGGGAAGACAAAACAAATGCATGCATGAAAGTTTTCGATCTTTTGCTTTTCTGATTAAAAATCATCTTAGTAACCGAAATTCCAATTTAACATGCTTAAATTTAAATAAATTTTATTCTGCGGAGACTATATTGAATGAAAACATTGAATTTCGGTGTAATTTAAAATTATTACCCTTTTAAAAATCCAGATTCAAGGATTATTTTAGAAGGAATTAGATCTGTTTCAAAATTTAGCAAGAAACTAAAATTGTTCCCTTAAGATTAATGCAAATCTAAGATTCAGGTTTGCTTGGTCCTTAACTTTTGTACGTTAGTTGTTCTTTCATGTTTTCCTTTCGGCCCACCAGCGGCCGAGCGGTAAAATCGCTGAACACTGGTAGTTCGGTCAGAGGTTCGACTTCCGCGAACGGGCTGGCTGCATGGGTGTTTTCGTGGTTTTCCCCATGTGTAACGTGTAAACGAGCCAGTATCCTTTAGAAAGTCCTCCACGAAAGGCATCCCTCACCTTAGGCAGATAGCCCTAGTGTGCTTTGCCATAATTAAATACACCATACACCACCATGTTTTCCTTTCTTTCCTGTTTTATTTCAAATGTGTTTACTTACTGTTAAGACTACCGATAACGATCTCATGAACAAACCACTCTGTCACATAATAGCTAAAAATGATTAAGATTGCTTTAAAGTTGGCTGTAGTTTATACTGTAGTTTATTGCTCTAAAGTTGGCTTTTGAAGGTCATAGTGACCTTCCCCTTATTTTCCATCGTAATGTGTGTCGTCATCATCGCACAGAGGAAATGTGGAAATTTTGCATATTAGAGGCTTTGGTCGTTTTTCTGCAAAGGTTGTTACTGTGGTTATGAAGTATGATTTGGGAGAGGGCAGAATGGTCTTGAAGTGTCTATTCTAAAGTAAAAAGCTATAATAATTTAAGGAGATGTACAATAATATTTTTGTTCTGATTCCATTAGTTTTGCTATTAAGCAACTTTTTTTCCCTTATCTAATTTATCACGGATTACAGAAAAAAATGCAAATCATAAAATATACTCTGTTTTACGTACACAATTTGCTCTTTCACACCATTTGCTGAATGCTTCGATAAGGATAACTCATGTATGCTTATTAACGTAGTCGCTGTTGCCTTAAGGGGTCATACCTCCCTTAAAAGGCTAAAACGTCGAGTAAATTGGACCATTTCAAACTACTATATCTTATAATATATAAACAGGAAACAAATAAATTTTTTACAGAAGACACTTAAAATACTACTCTATCTGAAAATGTGACTAAGCTTATAAAATACAAAAAAAAAAAAAATATTTAATAATGTCGAAAACTATATAGCACTTTATGTAATCTGAAAATGTAAATATCAGGTTACGCGCAAGGTTACTCTTAAATTATATGCTTTTTCAAAATATTTTCACCTGTAATATATTTATTATAGTCGTATTATAATTTTGAACCTTTAAAATTTTAAATATATATAAATTTATATTTTTTAAAAACAGTGGTTTTATGTTACTGAAAATAGCATACTTTTTATTACTTTGAGAACCCAGAAAAATAACAAAATATAAATGGAAATTGCAAATTTTAGGTTCAGGTTGTAGCAAATTACATATTGTATCTGTGATACAACTTTCATTAGAATATATTGAGTCTTTAAATTGTTATGATGCGCGCAATAATGAAAAATCGTGTTTTGAGAAAAATGACTTTAAAGTTTTTTCACCACATATTACCTAATAGCATTATTATTGCACCTTAATTTTATATAAAATGAAAAACTTATCACCTGATATTGTTTTCTTTACTTATTTTGTATTTGCTAGAAATTTCAACTGTTTACACAACATTCACACTAACACGACAATTCATGTCGTGATGTGAAATTACTGAATAGCAAAAATGCACAAAATATATCAATACAGATTCATCATATAATAATTATACACACACTATTAGCATTAAAATGCTCCTGAAAGGCATGTTACTCCTTCAGCTTTATAAGTCTTTAATTTCATGCAGTTTTGCATGACGCTTGGCGCGACGAGCATCAATCGTACGAGCTATTACTCGTTTCTTCGAAGAAGTTACACGTTTATAGTCACTCCTGAATTGTGCAGTAATGCAATTAATTCCAGGGTATATATTCAGGTATCTCAGAGTAGATAATCTACCCTTTCTACCATCATTAAAAAGAGTAACTGCTTCATGAACTGCTATTTCTGAGATGATTCTGCCACTACCAGATGTCTTTGGACATATTTGCCAAATCAAGGAGTTCAGTGACTCATTTGGATTTTGAGTATGAGCTCCAAGACAGCGTTTTAGGAGGTCTGGATGCGACAGTGAGTTGAAAACTGGTTTGATCACATCCATGACTGTCAGTGGTAAGGTTTTCTTTATGGCGAAAATCATTCACAACCCCTTTCGCCGAAGCAATTTGGTACTTGCACCATGAGGACTCACCAGTTGGACAAAAAGTATGTAATGGGTCACTGTCTGTAGATCGAGTATGAAAATACAAAGCCCAGATAGCATTTCGCATATCTTTCAGTGAATCTGCATGTTGGCGAATTGCATTTCCATAATACAATGACAGTCGGCTGATTGCACTATCTGTAAGTCGACCTTTTCCAGATAGACTTTTGCCATCTGAAAGCTTTCGTCCCTTATAATCAGCTTTCAGTTTACGTAAGCGAGTGCCCATCCTCTTCTGGATGTGCCCTACACACTCTAGTTTTGACACAGTCACACCTTCATATGGTTTGCTTTCTGTTATGGAAAGAAATGTTTTTGAATCACCATCACCAATATAATTGATGTATCTCACACCCCTTGCACTTTGAGACCTCTGAAAAATTTTAACCATTCCGTCAGCTTCCATTTTGGCAGATGAACGGAAATGATTTCTCCTGCAAGTACGAGAATGGGTTTCCAGCCACTCATCAAAGGCTTCACCAGATCGAGGACCCTTCCACAATTCGCATCCTTTACATGCTACGGATAAAACCTCTACGTCGATAACTTTTCCACTCTCAGCACCAATAACCGTACATACACCAATCTGAGATGTATGGCCTCTTGTTTTCCAGGTGCCATCACCACTTACACTTATGTCTGTAGAATTACTGAGTGATACTTCTTCTGCTGCTGCATTTTTCATGCTTTCAATTGCAGTCATTTTTGTTGCAGTATTGATTAAGTTATAGATTCTGTCATAAGTTTTTTGCATCACAGGAGAATCTAAATCCATTATTTCGCAAAATGTTTTCAATGGTTCAAGACCTTGACCAATACAACGCATTGCATAAATAATACGACGATTAATTTCTGCAATGTTCCTTTTTTCCCCCAACAAGTTTAGTGTTGCTTGTCATCACAATATTTTTGCATCCTTGACATGCAAGATCATTCCGGAACACAGACCTGCAGATCTTTCCGCAGTAAATTTTAATTTACCATGGCATACCTTACACACGGTGCTATCTTCCAAAAAAGAACACAGAATATTTTTATCGACAATCATGTTGCCATCAAATCGATTGCTTTCACTTGAAAAATCAATGTCTGTTACATTTAACTTTTTACAAGAAGCACTTGTATTTAGTTCATCTGAATTTCCAGGGAAACTATGTGCAGCTGTAGTTTCACAAATAACAGCTTGGTTTGGGGAAGAAATAGAAAATCCATTATTTATTTCATTTGAAACTGTCGATTTACCAGTTCTGGTGAACTGGTTTCCATGAAATCGGCGCTTTTTTGAACGCTTTCCAGAAGCACGTTTATAAGCATTATCAGCCATTTTACGGAGCAGTGCACAGTAAGATAATAAAATGCTTTAAAAACTTACAATTATATTTAAATTCACCCACAAACTGTTCTAAAATCACAACTGAATGATCATAAGTGACGGAAATAACAAGTGGAGTGATATGAAACACTACTAAAATATAATGAAATGAAAAGAAAAAAGAGCAATAAAAATAAAACGGTTAAGAATATAAACAAACTACCGAGGAGTTGAGAAATAACATTGCTACTATATAAATAGATCATTAAAAAATAAATCATTAGGCTTGCCATATAACACTTCAAGTAGAAACTGCTGACGCTTTTCACTTGGACCTTTAAACCTTGTTTACATTAGTTCAGCTGATACATTTTCCTTCATACCTCATGAAATTGTACGAATGTTTGCTTGGGGTTTTTTTTAAACTGCGCAGAAAGAATCAGGCTATAATATATTTTTTTCAAAAAATCAAAAAAGTTTTGATTTTTTGAAATCTGATGGTTTAAAGGAAGTATGACCCTTAAGTAAATTTTCAGTTAATTTTTTAGTCTCATTTCTTCAGTTGATCAAAATCCACCAGATCTTAAAGAAGAAGGAAAGATATATTTAAAACTTAAATCGCGGCAAAATAAATTAGGATTTTTTAAGCTTTTGTATTATTTTAAAATTACTGTTCTTCAAAGACATATTTCATATTTTTAAATCCGTGTCTTACTACACAAAATAAACAAGTAATCTTTGAAGATACTTTTCCGGAACTCACTTGATAAATCAGCCTCAGTTTACAACTGGTCGTGTTTAGAAGTCGCGTAGTTTCATATTAGCATAAAAGTGCTCAGTTCTGAAATCTAGCTAGTATGTTGTTTCAAACTGTTAGACAAGAATTCTGCCCTAATTTAAATTTGAAATATTCGATTCGTTAGAAGATAAATTTTGAGCACATCTCGGAACGTATCACTTGGTTTTAGTAAAATTCCAGAAATGAATATTCGCAGTATATATCCTAATGCAACTTCGCAATTCCTCTTGAGCTTTAAATGAAAATTTCTTGGTTTTTTACTTAGAAACTATATAAGCATCTGAGGATTACGTTTCAGATACTAATGGAAATCAAAATCGTGTTCCTTCAGATAATAATTTATGCGTAATTTTACTTGTTAAGTATACTGAGTTACGCTCAGCTTCATCCATCAGAAATTCTTCACTTGATATGACGTGGCTGCATTTGTTGAGCATATTTATTCTCCAGTCGTTTTCAGGTATACTTTTACGTCCGCTCACTATTACGTAAGTTCTAATTTCTGGCAACCTTTCCAATATTCTACTTAGAATTTGAAGTAAAAATTTGTTTCTTAAAAAGATCAGCATGTTTTGTATGCAGAAATTGTTGACTAGGTTATACATTAAAGAGGGAAAGCGTCGTATCTACTTTAAGAACATGCTTAATTAATTTGTCATGTGTGTAGAATGCGCGAATGATGTAGGAATACATATACGTCAGATTTATAAACTTTTATCTGTAGTTTTTATTTTTAACCCAAAGGGGCGGTAGCCCAGAGGGGCTATTATTCTCAAAACGGCATTTTGTGACGTTTCACTATAAACTGCAAAACATTTGCATGAATGTATGTATGCTTCTCGCACTGTGAACGACGGTGCCTAGAGCTATCACATTTTAAATAACTTAATTCTAAACCAAACATGGGCACCTGGAAGCCCGAATTTTAAATTTCGAATTTCTTTTATTACCTATTTCATATTTTTTAAAACTTTAACGAATTTCTGGTTGATTAATCAGAAAGCGACCAATGGCGAATGCACACTGCAACACTGTTAAAAAAAATATATTTCCAGCGTGCGGGACTGTCAATCGAAAATTCTAGAGATAATCTGTTTTTAAATATTTTATAGTATTGCTGTTGAATTCAATTTATGTGGTTTAAGTGCAAAGAACATGAAATTTAACATATTAAGGTAATTTAACATGAAATTTAACACAAAGTGCTAAGAAAATGCTCCTTTGGGCGTAATTTAAAATCTGAAAGCTTTCAGATTTTTTAAAAATAAATTTGTGTTTTATTAATTAATTATTTTAAACTTTCTCAGATGTTTCATAGATTTTTGTAATTTTTGTAATTTCGAATAATATTATTGGTTATGAAAAAAATTCTCACATATTTTGTTTCTTTGTTTGTTTATAAGGCTCATTTGCTATATCATACATATGCTTCCGAATTACTTCCTTCTTTCTCATTTTACTTTGCACAATTTGAGACGAAACTAAGTAAATATAAACTAAATCAGCTTAAATCCTTCAATGCAGTTTAAGAAACCAATTCAATACATATGAAATTCGCTTCTAAAAGAAGAATAGATGGTACTCTCTTGCTAAATAGATGGCTGATTTGCAGAGCTAATTTTCATATATGCTTAAAAGCAACATTGCATGCTTCATATTACACGTATTTTCAGAATAAGTACTATTAAATAGAGAAACATTGCATTAAAATTTTATAAATTTTTAAGCGTTTTTTACTAAACATCAGTTACAGATGGTTATAGTAGTAAGATCAAATATTTAATACTTGTAGCTCGTTTATGCATTCTTAGAATTATTCATCAGAAAGAAAAGTTACAATAATTAACTTCCATTGTTATGTATTACAAAAGATAACACACATTATTTACTTCTCATTAAAATGGTGAAATATATGCCATTATTTATAGAATTGTTTATTTGCGGTACTAAATTACCTCAAATACATGGTTTTGTTCCTTATAAAGCGTTGATGTCCGATTTTTAGTTTTATACGAATCAGGAAATAAGCATCCATTGAAATGAAACACTAAAATACAAAGTACAAAGCCTAGGCTCAAGAAATTAATTTTTTGACGTCATAGTTAATCGTATTTCTTTCTTTCTTATTCGTGGAGGATAAATATTTTGCTAACCTACAACATTTCCCTCTCTTTCAATAATCTTCCTTCCCCAACTAACTAACTATATTCAACAGATTTAATCAACTGATATGAAAACATTTTGCTACATTATAAGATATCAGAAGCAAGAATAAAACTCTATTGCTACCTCTCAGTAAGTGGGAAGCGCTGCAGAGAATGGAGAGTAAAAAGAAAATATGAAAATAAATATCTCAGACTGGAGAAATGTTTTCCTATTCATGAATACATTTTCTCATCTAATGAAAGAAATGTTTAAATATGAAAGTCGTGACCGAAAATAACTCTTTTTCTTGCTACTTCTAACCACTTAAATTCTAGGGTTAAATTCATATCATAGCAAAACTAAATATAAATGTAGCAAGGACAAGAATACTTTAAGATAAATTACGGTGAAGGTAAATAGTTCTGATCTTGAATAAAGGGATAAATATTTAAATTAAAGATCTAATATGTTGCGATGTATAGATAGAATTTATTTTTGAACAGAAATACAAGGAACTAATATTACAGAAAAATAAATGCAAATGAAAGAAAATTACGTTCTAACAGCAACTACAGGTATCTGAGGATTAAAGTTTAATTTTTGTTTTGACTGTACGGATAACTTCTATTTACTACTCGGACCATCTACCTACAGTCCTCTTTTTCTTAAAGGGGGTCTTATGATCCCAAACTTTTCCCCTTCCAAAAAGAAGAAAATTAAAAACATTGCTTCAGTTTTAATATTTTTGTGTACTTTAAAAAACTAGGTGAAAATATTTCACACAAATCGACTGATTCCATTATAAGCGTAACGGTCAACGGTGATAATTCCCTACAAAAACAAAACATATGTATATAAACAAAAATGAATAAATAAAATAAATTTATCTGGAACCTTTCAAATTTTATGTTACCCCCAAAAGGGCTTTTTGTAACGTTTTGTGTGTTTACCTTTATTTAATAATATCATGTTATTTGCACATAAACCATAAGATTCAATTCAACAGCAGTATGAAATATGTAAAAAAAAAGCATATTTTTACAGGTTTTTTTTTTTTTTTTTTTTTTACAAATGGCGGGCTCTTGCCTATAACGGCATTGGCTACTACTAAGGCCAGAAGTCGTAGCGTTTTTAATATGGTGGCACCTAATAGGCGGCCACCGTTACCTCCTAGGAAAGTACAGACAATTTTACATCCATGATTTCTCCGGGATTCGAACCCGGGCCCTCTGGTATCGCAGTCCGGCTTCGCTAACCACTAGACCGTCTGGGCGGCTTAGAGTTTCAGATACGCAGTCTCACGCGCTGAAGATAAAGTTTTTCTTTCCTTATAGTGTTGTCACTGCTCGCTTTGAAATCATTGAGTTCGTTAATCAAAAATTCGTTTACGTTTTACAAAATACGAAACAAATAATAAAACAAATTCAAATTTGGTTTCCATATGCCCATATTCGAGTGGAGGATACATTATTCAAGATTTGATGTCTCTAGGTACCGTTGTTTAAAATACATACATTCATGCAGATTCTTCATTATTTAATTCCTTTAATGCAGGCCTTTAATATTTGGT